CGGCCGCTCCGGTTCCAGCGTCCGCCGCCGCCTGTCACCGCGTCCCGCGTCCCCGGCGCATGCGCGCCACGACCCGCCGGCCAACGCGGCCGCCGGAAGCAGGAGGCAGAAGCAGCCGAATGCAGATAACCGCCCAGGCGAGGGTAGGAGCGATGCGCATCCATGCAGAACTGCTCAATCGATCGCCGATTTTGCGCTCAGGCGCCGGAGTTTGGTGCGGCGCGCGCAGGCGCCGGGCGAGGCTGCCCCCCCCTCCCCCCTCCCTCCCGCTGCAGGCAGCGGCAGGAGCGGTCGTGCCGCCAGCAGGGCTTGTAAGGGGGCGGTGGGATGGCAGCACACGAGTCATCCTTAATTTGGATGGTGGCACTGCATCACAAACAACACCATCTGCGGGGATAGCAAAGTAGAGCTGGAAGGGACCTCACCAGGTCTAGTGCAGCCCCTGCTCCAGGCAGGGCCGGCTCTGACCGTCGCCCCAGCCAGGCGTCTCTCCAGCCTGCTCCTGAACGTTTCCGGGGATGGAGGTGCCCCTAGGTAGCCAGTGATGGGTGCCCATCATAGCGGGCCGTCCGGTTGTCCTCTGCTGATACGAAACCGGACGCTGGCATCCGAGCCCCAAGCCTGCGCGTGCGGGCATGGGCCTGCGCGTCGGATGTCCGCCAAAGGATTTGGAAGCCTTGGGACAGACTTAGGGTGGCCATCATGGAGGACAGTCCGGTTTTCTGCTACTCTGTCCTCTGTTGATATGAAACCCGACACCTTTATGTCCTATTTTTTTCTTCAAGAGAAAAAATAGCGGATATAAAGGCGTCCAGTTTCGTATCGATAAGAGGTCAACCGGACTGTCCTCTATGATGGCCACCTTAAGCTTGTCCCAAGGCTTCCAAATCCTTTGGTGGGCATCCTGTGTGTAGGCCCAAGCCCGGAGGCGTGGGGTTCGGATGCCCCCGAGTTTTGTTTGCCCTCAGCTGTACGGCTGCAGAAGCATGCTGGGGGGGAATCTCCCATTTCCATAAAGCTGGCGTGTAGCCAAGATCTTCCCACTGGAAGTAAAAGTGGGAGGCTACCTATGCATCACCTCGGTCAGGGTACGACCCTCTGCCACGTTTGTGGTTTTCCCCAGCCAGCAGGAAAACCACCTTCACAGTCATGGTGTTTTCCCTGCCAGGTAAGTATCTGAAGCCCTAGGTGGGGGTGGAGGATGCTTGCTGGTTGCAGGTCCATGTATGACTCACGTGGATTTGGAATTGATTTGGCCGATTTGACTTGGGACGCAGATTTTCCTTTAAACCCCCCCCCACAAACCAGCCTGTCTCAAGGCCTGATCACCCTCATAGTCAGAAAGTTCCAGCCTGAATTTTGTCTGCTGCAGCTTGAGTCCACTTTGAGCTCCTTCTCCTTTCGCATCTCCATCCGCCTTATAAATATCACCCTTCCTCCTCTTTATAAATGTCACCCTATTTGAAGATTGTTACCAGAATCACCCCTCAGTCTTCTTGTACCATTGAAAGGATATGAAACTGAAGCAGAGAAAAGAAACACAACTTACCCAATGACTGATGGCAGAGTTTGAATAAAACCACAGGAAAAAGATCATTTAAATAATTTAGCTTTTTGTCTGGTCAAATCAGGAAAGGAGAATTGTAGCTGTGATCCAGGAAATGTGCTAGAAGCTGGGAGGGGGAGGGTTGGTGAGGTCTTTTTATTGGACTTATTGTGTGGTTGGGAGGAATGTTGGACAAGCTTTTGAGGATAAAATGCCCTTCTTCAGCCACTCTTAGCCCATTGTATGACTGATCATAGAACCATAGAAAATTAGGATTGGGAGGGAGCTCAGGAGGTCACATCTAGTCCAACCCCCTGCTCAAAGCAGGACAGCCCCAACTAGATCATCCCAGTCAGGGCTTTGTCTAGCCAGGTCTTAAAAACCTCCAAGGACAGAGATTCCACCACCTCCCTGGGTAACCTGTTCCAGGGCTTTACTACCCTCCTAGTGAGAAAGTTTTTCCTAATATCCAACCTAAACTTCCCTTGCTGCAACTCAAGACCACTGCTCCTTGTTCTGTCATCTGCCATCGCTGAAAACAGTCCAGCTCCATCTTCTTTGGAGCCACCCTTCAAGTAGTTAAAGGCTGCTATTGAATCCCCCCTCTCTTCTCTTCTGTAGACTAAATAAACTCAGTTCCTTCAGTCTTTCCTGAGCAGTCACGTGCCCCAGCCCCTGTACTATTTTTCTTGCCCTCTGTTAGACTCTAACTTGTCCATTTCCTGTCTGTAGTGGGGGGCCCAAAACTGGACACAGTACTCCAGATGTGGCCTCACCAGTGCTGAATAGAGGGGAAGAATCACTTCCCTCGAGCTGCTGGCAATGCTTCTACTAATGCAGCCCAGTATGCTGTTAGCTTTCTTGGCAGGAAGGGGACACTGGAGACTCATATCCAGCTTACTGTGCACTGTAACCCCAGGTTCTTTTCTGCAGAGCTGTAGCTTACCCAGTTGGTCCATTTCTTTAATTCTCCTCCTTATAGGTTACATAGGCTGTTTTCAAGAGGGAAAATACACACTTTTAAAGAAAATGTCCCATTATGTGAAAACTAGTAAAATGCACACTATTAAAGAAAATGTCCCATTATGTGAAAACTAGACATATTGATCTGTCACTGCATGCCACTGAAAAATCAAATGTTGATTAGGTATATCACCAACCTCTGAACCTTTTCAAAACAGCAGTTAAGACAGTTAAACAGCATTACCATTATTCCTAATCACATCATTTACAGAATCAACACACTTAAAAAACTGGACTTAAATAGGCAAGGATATTGTAAATATGTAATTGGCCAAACTACAGTTAACTATAGTATCTCTATCAAATTAAATGTAAATGCATATTTATATTTTAAAATAACTGCTTCTGGAAAAATGGTATTTATTTTGGGCCAAAGTTAGGACAATCAGAAAATATTAAGTAAAACAGAAAAACCCTAGTGAAAAAAGAATATATAAAAATGATATATGTGCACAGCAACACTGATATAGTATGCTAACAGTCAGAAATATTACTCTAAAGAAATAGCAATTCTAAGTACTTTACATAAATGGTAATTTTCAATTGATGAACTGATATTTTTATTGATGAACTGATAATTTTCAAATGATGAACTGATATTTTTATATATATATTTATATTATTTCAAAAAGGATACTTCCTTTTTTAAATAATTAAAACAATGCATAAACAATTCATGGGTCAGAGTTCAGTTTATTGTTTTGTAATCCATATTGATTTCTATACGTTTAGAAAGACCAGTGTATGTTTTTATTATATGGACAGCTGGCATAAAATAAATAGTCATGTTAGAGTTGACTAGTCTTAGGTAAGTCAGTATATTGATGCTGACACTTAACCTTAAATAGTTTCTGAAACAAAATAATTTGCTCTTTTGATTAGCATCTCCTCTCATCTACTGTGCATGGAGACCTCAAAAGGTAGGGCATTTTTACATGTGCATGCGTTACAGCACTGAGCACTTTGAAAAGTGCCCAGCACCGACATGCATGCAGTTGTATAAGCAGCAAAATGAGCATCAGCACTGAGAAAATGGCAGTGGTGCGCTTTTGAAATAAAACTCATCAGAGGTGCTTTAGTTCAAAAGCGCGCCGCCACCACTTTCTGTGCGCTGACGTATTTCGCTGCTTATACAACTGCACGCGGCGCACTGCAGTTTGCCTCAGCTCGTGTGCGGAGCAGACTAGGTTAATTGAGTCTGCTCCGAAGCAGCGGATCTGCGGCAAGTCACTGGAAAAAAAGTATGTGTATAAATGCCTGTAGAGGTTGCCTAAAGGGGCTTAACATCTCCTGAGGTCCTATTTCTTATGGGAAGAACAGACTAACTGAGCGCATCTACACATGCAATTAATGCAGAGCAATAAACTCCAGCGCGCATTGCACCAGCACTTTTTGCTCCCAGGTGTGCTGTTTGAACATGCACCCAGGATCGCAGCATGTTAAGCTAGGTCGGAGCAGCCCCACATGGCAGGGGACCCAGGTGGAGGTGAGGGATGTCAGCCTCTCGGCCCAGGGCTGCTCCGACACTACTCAACATGCTGCAGAGGGGTTGGCTGGGGCACCAGGGTGCTCCAGTGCAGGGCTAGTTGGTAAGCAGCCCCCACATTGAAGCACCTTCGTGCCTCAGCCAGCCGGTACTTCCCTTACAGGTACTTAGAAGTAATTCCTTGCTGTGGAGTTCATTAGTTTCCTGTGGCCTAATAGGGTCGAGATGTGTATTGCAGAGCTAATTAGGCAGCTGCACTGTAAATGTCTTGTGCCCAATAAGAATCAAATGGAGAGGCTTGGAGACCGTTCCAAAGTCACTCTGGTTGCTGAAGGGTCCTTTAATATATTTATATCTGTGCATTTAAATTGCCATGTACACTTTCTTATTCCCCAACACCAAGTTCTTCATTCTCCTCATCTTTAGCTAAATAGGTGCCACTTTGTACAATGCTTCTTGGACTCTGGAAGAATCCCTTTTGCCCAGGGACTGTTACTAATTCTATACATACTTTCATGTCTGGATCAATTCTATTTACTTTGGTCAAGATTTCCAGCTGAATGACTTGGGGTTTCTGGTTTGTCTGTTTCTTATGGGATTATACTACCCCCACCCCCAAACTCCAGTTGCTTACCTGCAGTAGAGCTGCCCCAGAATGACATTTTCAGAGAACAAACCTCAAGCAAGTACAAAATAAGAACCTCAGGGACACGGCTCTATTTCCTAACTTGTCTGTAAAGCACCTTACATGTAAATAGAGTGATGAATGGGAACAAAGAGTTGTGAAATGGAGGACAGATTCACCACCATGAATTTAGCTGAGATTTTCTAATATAACCCATGAGATTTAGGCACCTAAATCCTCCCCTTGGGATCCTTTATAAATCCTAGTTTTAATGTTGGTCCCAAAGCCGGAATCTATGCTTTCCCTTCACATCAGCATACATCTCCCTAAGGGGAAGTTCAGACCCTTGGGTAAACATTGGGATTATTCATTATGGCTTAAATAGCGCAAGACACTTAAAGCTGGTCACATGACTCCTGCCTGCCCTCCCCTGCAGAATTAGTCTTAGGGGTTTAACTGATATAATGAAGAGCCCGTTGATAGGAATAGGTGCTATCCGGAATCACTGACACTATCTCCCCTGCAAAGGAAAACAGTGCGATTATCCTGGAGATCCCAGTTCCCTTCTTGCTGGTTTTCCCTGGAGCGAGAAAAGTCCCGCAATCTTTCTGGAACCCCGAAGCACATTCCCTTCAGGTCAGCAAGTGGGGCTAATACGATTCTTCAGTATCAAGGGAAAGGCAAGGACAGGAACAAAGGAGTGAGAGAGAGCTGAAAGACAACCTCAAGCATAATTTCCCCCCTACCTCAGAGTCATGGGGCTCACCCATACCAAGCAGGTGAGTAGCTCTCCTGTCACTAGGAAACTGTATTTTTGGACATATGCCTCTGTGCTTTGCACCAAGCTGAACTCATGGATAGAGCTTACTAAAAAAGAATGAATCATAGTATATATGGAGGAAATTCACTCCCTATTTCTCCCCCCTGCCCCAACCCATCCTTGTCATTTTCTTTCTTTCTTTCTTGCCTTACCCTCTTTGTTCCCCTTGTTCTTTTCTCTCCACCTTCCTCAGCTGGGAGAAGTATCTGGAGATGATCATCAACATTTGCCTAAACCATGTTCTCATCCCATAAAACACTGACTAAAGCGGGGAAAGACCCAAATGAAAGTCAAAGGGGACACTTTGAAAGTCTAAGGGGGGAAAGTCAAAGAATGCATGGGAATGCAAGTCAAAGTGCAGAGCTGGAGGAACTAGCTGTTTCAGGTGCTGGGGTGGGTGGTGCTGGGTTTGAGATCAAGTGGCTTGCACATCCACTGTATATAATCTCATTTTCCCCAAATTGCAATTTCTTATGCAAAAATGACTGGAAAGATGGAGACCAAGTGCATCTTACCTGAAACTCCCCATCCTGTTCCCAATCTGTAAAATGGGGATAACAGCACTTTCCTACCAGCCCAGGATGTTACAGGATAAATGTGATAAAGACCAGGAGGTGTTCAGTGAAGAGAAGCAGTCCTCACCCATATGCTGCCCTCCCCAGAATCTCTCAATTGTTCTCAGAGATGCCGCAAACAGACTCTCTCGGTCTTAAGGATCATTTTGAAATGAAGTTTTATGGCTTTTTGATATTTGTGCAGAACTTGATGAACATGATGGACATGAAAGTCACAGGTTGATAAAGCTGTAGGCTAGCCCTGTAGAGTGGGTACCAGGAAAACTTCCCCAAGCCCAGCTTTGTCGAGACACCTCAATTCTGACCCATCATTTTCTCACCCCCACACCATCCTAGTCCTTATCCCCCCCTGCACTTCAGTTCTGACTTCTGGCATCCCCTCCTATTTCCATTCTGTTCTTCCCACACTGAGCTCTGTGTGGGAATTTAATCTGGACCCGAACCCTTTTTGCAAATCCAGTCTGGGGATCCTCCTGAGTCATGATTCTACTAATCACGTCATTTCGTGATAAGCATCAATGTTTGTTAAGGACAATAAGAAAGGGATACTGGCTGCATTACTATCATGACTATTTAAGTGTTCTGGGGGCTGAGATTTACCTGGTGACCACAGTGACCTTTTGCCCACAAGCTTGGCTGGATCTGGAGCCAAGAAGGTCTCCAGGGTGAAATATGAGTGCCTAGAGTGCTGCACTTGCCCTGACACTGCTTCAGTGAAACAAATCCTTCCCCTCCTCCCCTACCAAGAAGACTCATGCTGAGATAAACCCATGGATGAGCTTAATCTTATGCCTGGGTATACAATTTCACAGTCTGATTGCTCTTAGGGCATTTGTATGTCCCCTCTATGACAATTTAGGCTTTGGAAAAATGTTGATATACCAGCCAGTCTTCTTCACAGATATAACCCAGGTCATCCAGTCCATCCAGGCTAGGTCTCTGTGTACAGCTTGATGCCATGGTATTGTGGAAGAAAAGTAGTGTTGCTGTGGCTAAGAATTTCTGTTTGCATGGCTTTAAATCTGCTTTCAATTCTAAGCTAACCATAGGGTAACCTGACCCTCACACCAGGTGTAGAAAGCAGTTGTAGTGGTTATCATTAGATCTGGCTACATTTCAGTCTGGGTAAATGACGGTATTCTGCTGTCCTCAACTAGATAGGACATTCTTTGCCCAAAGCTTGTCTAACATATTTCCATTTCTTCCAATTGTATAGCTGGTCAGACAAAAATATTACCAAAGACCTCCTGTTACTGGAGGCTGGAGGATTACTGGAACAAATATCTTCTTCTATAGATGTTATCAAGGGAGCTTAAATATTCATGCCAAGCACAGAAGATCTGTGTTAAGGAGTTATATCTCCACCTTACACTTAAAAGCTGAACATTATTATTTTAAATTGTAAATTGAGATTAATAAGCTGTGCCCTCAGAGATTGTTAAACATCTGCTGAATTCTGCTTCAGAGGTGGCTGCACATTAGTGTTTCCAGTCTACATGCAGCTTGGGGCCTTTGTGTTCCCCAGATTTGTTTAATTTAATGGTGCAGGATACTATGTTTGCCATTATCGGGCTGTTAGGGAAGGATTAAAAAGGGAAATCTGCCCACATATGGAGGATGTAACCTTTAAACCCCAGAGGGAGGCAAGGAGATCCAAGTCTTTCTTCCAAACTGAGATACTTTAAGAAATAGCAAAGCAGATCATGGTCTTGTGAATGGAGAGAGGAGGACCCTACCTTTTTAGCTTCTCAGCTCAGGGCAAGTCTCAAATGCTTTCCCTGTCATATTGGTATGTAGACTGCATACCACAGGCTTGGGGTAGGGAAAAACGGGACGGGATAAATAAGAAACTCTACTGCTGGAATGCAAAGTCAAGTTTGGTGGTATCCTATCCAGTATCAGTCTGAACAGATGGTAAGTGTTCAGTTTCCACCTGTTCAAAAATCAAACCATCCCTTGAGAAGGTGAGCGTGTATATGGTGAGTCCCTGTGCCGAACAATCACCTTGCCTTTTGGAGGTTCATTTACTTGGGTCATTGCCATCACTCATTGCGTATGGCATATAAGGGTTTGTTCTGCCCCAGGAAGATGCACACATTAATGGGGACATGGGCTGCCACAGACGGCGCTTGCCTCTGTTATGTTTGACTCCAATCACTGCTACTTTAATTCACAACCAGAATCTGCATTTATGATTCTTTCCTATTCTGAAAGTCAAAGCACCTCTAGACAAGTAGCTATGTACATTTGACAGACAGGCAAACCAAGACACAGAAGACAGTGGCAGAGCTGGGAAAAAAACCCTTGACTCCTGATTTGCAACACCCTCTCCTCCGCCCTCCCACCTGCCTGCCCAACACTCAGGACCATTAGACCTCTTTCTCTTCCCAGACCTGGAAATAAGACGCCCAGCAACATAGCACAAGCTGTGACTATGAGGACCCATGGTCATCCTTGTGCTTACTGCAGTAATGCCTTTTTTATTTCCTGGACTCCTTTGTCCTCTCTCTGAAGCTGAACTTTTCATTTCACAGGGTGACTGCAAAACGCAGAGGAGTCGTCAGATTCCAGGTAGGAGCTCCTTGCGCCAAAGAAGAAAGCATCTGTGGTGTGGGAAAACCACATTTGCCAGATAACAAGATCTAACTGCCCCTAGAGAGGGATGGGGCATTCAGAGGGTTTTGGTTTTTTCCCAAGCAAATTAATTTGTTCATAAGCAATGGCTGAGGCAGTAATGTAACTGGGGGGCAGGGGGTGACTGGGGCAGCAGCCCCAAGTGCTGCTTTGAGGGGCTGAAAAGTAATCGCTGCCACAGCTGGTGGCTAGCCATGTCGCCACTACCAACAGCCACTGCTGCCCTGTGCGCAGCCACAGTCCAGGGCACAAAGCTGCCCTGTCATGCCTCTGAGCCAAGGCAAGAGGGAGAGAACTGTTTTGTCGGGTTGGGAAGCTATATGACATGCAGGGACCAGCAGCATCAAAGGTCACATTTTAAAGAGGCTTCTAAACTTATTCAAGGAAACAAGCCACTGGAAAAAAAGCCCTGAATCTCACTTTTATAAATAAGTAGTGATTCTGGAGGCCCCACTTGAGATGCTGTTAGTGGAGTCTGATTTTCAGAAGGGGGTGCTCATTGACTCCAAGTAGGACCCCCAGGGACTCAAACCCACTAAGCAGTCCGTAAAATGGTCTTGATTTCCATCCTTACTGGCCACATGTGGCAAAATAAAAAGACCAGTTAAGGTAATTTTCCAGTGCACGTCTGTGCGCTCAAGTGGTAGATCCTCCTGAGCTAAGTCCCCTGTCGAGCTCTTATGGTGAAGGCATGCCCACTTCAATAGCCTATGGTTGGGTCGGAGAGTTGTTGTTGCCGTGATGGTCCAGGAAATATGTGAGAAGCATATCTTGGTGGTATATGTTATTGGACCAACTGTATACCTGGGAGAAATGTTAGACAAATTTTCACAAAGTGCCATTCAGTGGCCAACAGCACACACAGCAGCAGTATAGCCACCATCCCAGCCAGCTGCTTTTAACCCTCTCCTAAAAGAAAAAAAATTCATTTACAGCAGTATAAATTGGGGCTAGCCTTTGGAATGTGTTGAAAATGCGTCTCATACTTAATATACCTCTGATGTCCTAATGAGGCACCTGAGCTGCAATGCCATCACCACCCACACAGGCCACAGGTATACCCTTAATTATTCTGGGACTAGTAAACACAACACAACCTTAATTAACCAAGCCCCATTGTCTGAAATTTGTAGGAGCCCTTGATACACCAATTATGTGCCAGAATTTAACTTGAGAATTACAGACCAGTTAACTTTTATCTAGGTCTGGGTGCTAGTTAAACACTAAATTTGAAAGAGGGAGAGAAAATTCTCAATGGAAATGATACAACTGAGACAAACCAGATGCTGCTACAAAGGATATTCATGCTTCATTAACATATTAACATACCAGTGTTATAAGCATGATGACAACATTCGGTGACATCATTTATTTGAACTTTCCCAGTCTTTGATAAGTCACTTATAAGCCAGTCCTGTTAAGGGTATTAAGCTGTGGGGCATTCTGCTAACGAGGGAGCATCCAACTGGGAGTTTAAAATCTCAGAGGACAGAGCAGAAGGGAGCAAGCTATGAAGGAACAGATTGCAAAAAGGAGAAGCGAGGCTGCTAAACTGGGGAAAAGATTGAGCAGAAAGTGACTCTTCTGCTAATGTCTGGAGAGGACAGAGGGCTTTGGGTTGTTTCATTTCTGTTAGAAGCTAAAGTCTGTTTGGTGAGAATTGATCTGTCTAACAACTAACAACATTGCTAACTGGCCTGCAAAAGTTAGCAGGATAAAGGACCTGCTTCCAACAACCCAGTGTGCTATCAACTTGTTGTAACATGGACTGCTAGTAGTGATTCCTGGGTCCAAAATAAGTATAATCTTGTCACTTGAAGGAATAATGTATTGCAAAAATAGAAGGAACCTAGAGGTAGAGAGGAGAAGGATCAGCAACCTGATACAAATGTCATATAAAAAGTAGGAAAGCAATGGGACGTTCTATTAAACTATCAGGCGGTATCTTTAAAAACTAACATACTTTTTGCCTAATGCATAAGTCTGTGGAACTAATTGCCACAAAGCATCATTTAGGTCAAGAGCTCAATAGGATTCATAAAATGTTTAACATAAATATGCATAATGAGCACACCTACAGTTAGATGAGAAAAACCATCACAACTGACAGTAAGGTTCCATTTTTAAATAGTTTGTAAAGGGTTAATACTTGTTCTGACAACTAGTAGTCAGGCATCTATTATCGAGTCCATTAGGTTGCCAATAACCATTTAAACCATGGCTGATCTCATTCACCTGGCATTTGCATTTCAGAGGCTGGCAGACAGGGCTTTGAACCTGGCACTTACCGGACAGTCAGTGGCACCAGTGGCCTCATTGAGCCAAAGAAGCTGCCAAACCCAGTCAAGGAGTCCAAGAACCATCGGGACCTCCATCGGGAGCTGTTGTTCAGCCACAAGAGGTATGGGATAAAGCTGTCAGGAGGGCATAGGGCAAAGGACAGCCTTATTCTATCTGATGCAGTGGGTGGCACAAGGTCCTTGGCCTCTTCTGCTTTACTTGGAGATCCTTGCTTGCCAGGAACATTGAGACCAGGCATCCCCTGTAGCCTTCTTTATGTGGGCACTTGGAGGCCATCAAGTTTTTAAGAGGTCTCTAGGCCCCATGATCAGTGAGCCAGGAAACAAAGAACAGGAGTCCTGAATGATGATGCCTGAGTCTAGAGCAGTATTCTTTACCACGGTGCTGTGGCACCCTGGGGTACCTTTAGATCCTTTCAAGGATGCTGTGGGCTGTCGCACAATGTTAGCACTGTTAGGTGTGCAAACAAGATTCACAAGATAAACCAGGGGGTTTCAAACAGAAATCCTAGAGTTAGAATATTTCTGCCCTGCTGAGCTCTTTGCAACAGAAGAATTGTTCTATTATTTTATGTAGTCAAAAAACAAGTGAAAACTAAGAACTGGCATTTTCCAAGGGGTGCCTTGAGCCTAGTATGGGGTGTCCTGAGTTTAAAACGGTTGAGAATCAATGGTCTAGAGTAGGAGTGGGCAAAATGTGGCCCACGGGCTGAATATGGCCTGCAGAGCAATTTTTCCCAACCCACAGCAGGTCTCTTGGCCTCACCCTGCCCAGGTGCAGGGGCAGCCCAGGCCATGGCACGTGTAACCGGTTCTGCCATCCCTGGATGTGCGGCAGGACTGAGGCAGCGCTGGCTGGACTCCACTTCCCAGCAGCGCCCATTTCCCGGCAGCACGAGCAGAGGCAGCTCCTTCCAGCTACCTCTGCCGGACCTAGCCCCACTGCCCATGCACCCCAGCCCATCCACCTGCACCCACTGCCGGGGGTGGAACCTGCATGGGCAGGGTGCACAGCCATGCAGCTGGGATGGGGCTGCAGGCTAGCGAAGAGGCACCTAGGAGTGAGATAACCAAGAATCTTGCAGTGGTGACAGTGCAGAGCCAGGGCCAGGACGGGGCAAAGCCACGATCCATGGCCCGCAGGTTCCACGGGCAAGCAGGTCCAGACACAGGCATGAGTGAACTGGGCGGCATGCCCCATCCCACATAGGGACTTTTGTTGAGTTGCTGTGTGGCGGGAGGGGTACTGATCCAGCCTGCGACAGCTCAACAAAACTCCGTACGTGGCCCACAGGCCTATATAATTGCCTGCCCCTGGTGTACAGGCTTTTCTGCAGCAGGGTATACTCACTGCAAAGTCGGATACCACCCCAGGGAGTCACTGAGAAAGATGGTGTATTCTAGTACCCAAGCAGCACGGCATGTGCAGTGTTTCCAACAGAGGTACCTGCAAGGGAAGGGAGGCAGGAATCTTGACTTAGAAGAAGAGGACTTCCCAGGAACAGAGAAAAAATTAACACATTATTACTGTGACTATACCCCAGGACCCGAGGCCAGCTGAGGCCACCTTTGCTGGCAGGGCTTCCAATACACTCAGTATGTCCACAGCCAGAGCACTGGGATATTGGGTCAAAAGAAAGAATGGAGAGAGTAAAGGACAAGAAGGGAAGCAGTAATGGAGAGCTGAATCAGGAGAAACGAGGAAGTCTATTCCACTCCATTAAACCCTTAATTATTTCCTGTACTCAGAGGGCTGTTGCCAGAACACAAACCTGAGCTCCAGAAGGCTTTGGAAACCAGGAGATTAAAACAGCTGAAGCAGAAGGAAGAGTCTCAGAGGCCCCTGACAGATCTGGAGAAAGAGCTGAGGAAACGGCACCAGAAGCTTGAGGAGGTGTGACACCAAATAACTGCAAATAGTATTCATGGAAATAACATCTTTTCTTTCTTCCCAGTCTGCTGCCCATTAGTTTGTGGGTCTTTGCTCAGCTGCTGGTGAGGTAGTGTGGTGTTTGTTGTAATGCGAGTGGGTGCATATGACTTGCTGAAAGGAAGCTAATTCAAAGTAAAAGCTAAGGCCAGAGTCATCAGTACGACGATGACTGCCGTCATTCTTACTGTTGTGGTAGTGATTACTATGGTTCAAGTCCAGACTCAGAAATGCTGCATCTCCCATACTTCTGGGTCATACTTCAAGGCTGGTTAAAGTTTCATTTTTCCAGTGAAGTACAGCTGCTGAGATGGTCTTGGAGGGAGAAGCATCTCTCTATGAACCAGGACCATTGTTAGACAGGATTTTGAATTTCAGGACAGGGCCTTTGAAGTGCATGACACTGGGCACGTCTACACATGCGCTTTCATCTGCAGTAGCCTATTTTACTGTGTATTAAAGCATCATGTAACAAGCTATGTAATTATGCTAATACAGAGTAAAATGGGCTACTGCACATGAGGTATCACTTAAAAATCATGCACATTCGTTACTGCACATTAAGGTAGCCTGATACGTATTTCTTTAGTACCTCACACTGGAAGTACAAAATGTTAATGTGCATTAGAAAAAGTGCCTTAATGCATGTGTAGACGTGCCCACTGATTCTTAGACAGAGTGGAGGGATGATAAATGAAAAAAAAAAAGACTCATGGCTGGATATGACAAGAAAAGCTACTCACTGGAGTGGAATAGCATGACTAATAGGCAGCCGTCACTAATGCTAGTGGGGGCATGCTGCTGACATCATTCTAACCTTTCTGCACACCTGACAGTGCAGGGATTTGAAGTAGCTAATCTCTTGAGATCCCTTCCAGCCCTCCTTGTCTTTGCTCCTATTAGTGGACTCTGTTCACTACAGAAAGGATTTGGACAAATTGGAGAGTCCAATGGAGGGCAACAAAAATGGTACGGGCTGGGGCACGTGACTTCTGAGGAGAGGCTGAAGGAACTGGGCTCATTTAATCTGGAGAAGAGAAGACCAAGGAGGGATTTAATGGCAGCCTTCAGCTACCTGAAGGGTGGTTACAAAGAGGATGGAGCTGGACTGTTCTCAGTGGTGGCAGATGACAGAACAAGGAGCAGTGGTCTCAAGTTGCAACAAGGAAAATTTAGGTTAGATATTAGGAAAAACATTCTTAGTAGAAGGGTAGTAAAGCACTGGAATAAGCTACCAAGAGAGGTGGTGGACCCTCCATCCTTGGAGGTTTTTAAGACCTGGGTAGACAAAGCCTTGGCTGGGGTGATATAGCTGGTGATTGTCCTGCTTTGAGCAGGGCTTTGGACGAGATCAGCATTTCTCAACCCATGGATTTCGACCCAAAAGTGGGTTACAAGAACATTGCAAAGGGTCACGAGCTGTGGCAGGGCAGAGGGGGGGCAGGAAGGTGCCTGACCCTTCCAGTGGAGGAAGGGGGTGGGGGGAGCTGCATGGCCAGGCTGGTGGCACTGGGACTGATGCCCGTGCTCACGGGGGCAGGGCGGCCAGGAGACACTGTTTGCAGGGTGGGAGGGGCCATGATCAGGCTACCTGGTGCAGCACAGCAACCCCAGCCCAGGGCAGGGGGCTGCCACAGGCCTCTCCTCCTCCTCCCTCCAGCCTGAGCTGGGGTTGGACTCGCTCCACTGCTGCCCACATGAGCCAGAGCCGCTGCAACCACTGTGCTCTGACCGAGCAGGACGGGGCAGCAGGGGGTCTTTCTGACAGGGCTGGGGGAGGGCAGGGAGCTGTGGGTCAGGAGTAAGGGACACCAGCATGGCCCGAGGGGGCAGGGGACTGGGGGTCGGGCCATGGATCTCTGTAAATGGGTCCCGGTAGGAAAAAGATTGGCAACCACTGGACTAGGTCACCTCCTGAAGTCCCTTCCAACTCTAATTTTCTATGAGTCTATGAAAATGTGGCTTACTGTGACATCTGTGTCCAGCCTGCTTATATACTCCAAGTATTATTTGAGTAAAAGTAGCCTACTATATAAACTTGGCATGGACAGCTCCATGAACTAGGACTTTCTATGTACTATTAGTGATTCTGGGAAGGAGATAAGGTTAGAAGAGCGCTTCAGGTGGTGCTATATAATTTCTATCCAGATTTAGAAATGTGGATGGTAAGATAAAGGAACGTGTTTGGAAAATACCCTAAGGCTTTAGGATTGTTATCAGAGAAAAGAGGGGCTGGAAAGGACCTCCAGAGGTCATTTGGTCCAACTCTGTGCTCAAGGCAAGATCGTCCTCATTTAAGTCCTCCTAAAGTTCTTGTCTAATTTAACCTGTTCGTAAAACTAAAAGAGCAACCTTCATCCACAGCTACCAAGCACAGTGCCTGAAAACACCAAGAACACCCTAACTTGCCACAGGTAAAGCAGGAGGATGAGCTGTCCACAGCAAGGACAGGAAGTAGATTATTAAAATACACTTGAGAAATCCAAGGAAAAGGACCATCCATCTCTCTCTCCAGCAGCAGAGTGGCTGTACCTCCATAAACTTCTGGGTAATTTTTTGGAGACAAAACTACACCATCTCCAGATCTGAGGATGCATGCCCACAGCCAGATTTAGGGATAGATTTCATACAATCAAGTCAGATGCATGTATAAAAATATACATGCTGAAACTTTAGAAACCAGCTGCTTTTTGCTCATCTATCTGGCCTTGAGAGAGCTAGATAGATGATGGTAGTAAAGGGAGCCAAGCTGACAGCTTTTAAGGCAACTGTTAGAGAGAGGTGACTTAAATAGCATCTAAGTGGATTCCCCAATTAGCTGAAGTCATGTAGAATTTAATAGGGTTGAAACCAAGAGGGTTCACTGGAGATTACTCTAAGCTCCTAGAAAATCTAACGGAGAATGGAGACTTTTCCTTAGACTTTAAAAACAGCTAACACTATTTGATAGCAAATTTTATCCCTGCTATAGTAGGGTTACCGTATGTCCAGGTTTACCCGGGCATATCCTCTTTTTGGGTCCTCCCATCTCATCCAGGTGGTTTTTTAAAATATCAGCAAATGTCCAGGATTTTGCTCTGCCTCTACTTTCCCAGCCCCAGCAACTGCATACAGGTGAGTCTGTGTGTGTGTGTGTGTGTGTGTGTGTGTGTGTGTGTGCGCGTGCGCGCGCACGTGCATGCATCTGCTGGCACTGCAGCAGGACAAGGAGGCAGGAGAAGGGGGTGGGGAGGTCCTTCAGGGGCAGCAGGGAGTTGCTAGGCTGGGGGGGACAAGGGGCCGTGGGTCGGGAGAGAGGGGCACCACCAATGCCAGGGGAGCAGGGGCTGTGGGTCAGGAGTGAGGGGCACTGGCAGAGCTGGGGTGGTCAGGGGGATGTGGGTCAGGAGTGAGGGGTATCAGCATGGTCTGGGGGGCAGGGTACTGTGGGTCGGGAGTGAGGGGCCACAGCAAGGTTGGGGAGGGTTGTGGCTTGGGAGTGAGAGGCAGGGGCAGGGCACAGGCATACCCCTGCCCCCCCACAGGTGTCCTCTTTTTTGACACTGGAAATACGGTAACCCTAGGTTGGAGTGTTGTAGCTGTGATAGTCCAGGAAATGTCATCTCATTCTCCATTCATATCAGTAAGACTCATTTATAAGACAGGATTTGGGATCTTCCCCTGACCAGTTGCTGCACTACAATTTTTTAGGAAAATTATATGAACATTGATTGAGAGAGTCCAACTATTCCTTTCAGAGGTGCTGAGTACATGGGGCCCCGAGGGCTCTGGCCCCACTTGGGAAGAGGGCTGTCACCTGAAATGAGTAAAACTTTCTACGTGTCCATCATCTTAGGCATCCCCCCAGCCTGGCAAAAATGAAAGCTGGCTCCTATGATTCATTTGATCTCAAAAATAACATGTAAACAGGGAGCAGGCAGAGGAAACCTGCAGCTAATTTTGTTAAAAACACAAAGGATGCCCTTAATCGATGCCACAGGATGAAGTCTGGGCTTGTGAGCTCATTCAAGTCATGGATGAAGGCGTGGGCGTGGAGTTCAGGATGGGTTGTGGAGACCATTTGAGGTTTGGCAGAAGGTTTGGGTTTGGGTTGGGATTTAGTTGGAGGGACGTATCCTCAGACTAGTTCAGCTAGGACATGCATTTTGTCCTCTTTATAGTATGAGCAAGAGCTGGCCCTGAAGCAGGACCAGGAGAGCAGACCTGAGTTCATCCTTGTCAAGGAGAGCCTGAAGAAGATCAAGCTGTCTGCAGAAACAGGCATGAGGCAGACGTAAGGGACAGGCGGCAAAGCCAGCTCCAGGGAGGCTCCTTTGCAGAATGCCAGGCAGAAGCATTCTGTGCAAGGCAAGTGCATTTTCAGTGAGTGCCCTTCACAGACCCTGTTGGCTTGCGTCTGCCCTGGTGGCTAGGGAAGCACCGCTCACGTCAGGCAGGACCACGGTGGGAGAATGAGGTGCTCAGCAAGAGCCATCACTTCCTGGAGGCTTCCAGTGAAAGACTCTCCAGCCAGGATTCTAGCCCAGACTCTATGGGATGGGAGATGGCAAATCTGCCCAGGCTGCTGTGGGCTGGATGGACATGTATTATAAACAGTTACTGTGCAACCAGGTAATTTTAAGAAGCCTTATATTTGGCAAGGGATCCTGATATTTGCCCTCTCTTGCTTCTTCCCCCTCAGCCCTCTCCCACACACACATGCACATTTACTCTCTGTTATAGGTATATGTGTACTTATCTTAGTCTTCTCCCTTCCTTCTGTTTTGCTAACAGCTACAATGGCTCTCTTCCCTCTAGCCTGGAAAGACAGAAGACCAAGCTTACTGATTACATAGGCTTGTATCAGCATCGCTGCATGGAGTGGCAACCTGGAGGGCTTGCCACACAATAGATATGAATGCTTCCTGACTTCTGAGTGTATGCCTTCCATCTGTCTAGAAGACCAGAGAGCTGATGTCCAGCAGGAAGCCAGGATTTCTTATGCAGGGGAGGACTTCAAAGCTACCAAGCCAATGGGAGATCCCTGTTACACAGCACTTTGCATCAGCAAAGCACTTGTGCTCATCCCAAGCTCCTGCAGCTTATGATTCTCCACAAATCTCTTGATGGGATTAGCTCTCACCACTGTTCCCTTCCTGTCTGCTGTCATTAGAGAGCACAAACATGTCTATACTTATCTCTCTATAAGTAAAACTAAGCCAAACTTTTAGGTCTCCTAAGAACATTGAAAAACTCTCACTTATCTGTGCAAGCTCTGGGGGCACTGTCTACTCTTTAGGGAACGAAAGGGTAACCTCTGCTCAACTGGTCTCTGAGTCCCAAACCTTTTTTAAGTGTTCAATGGCACTGGCGCAGCCCTGCCACCTGCCTCCCTCCAGATGCCCCAGTGTGGGGAAACACCATGTATCTGGGTCCTTAAGCGTTCCCAGGGAAAACTGTTCTTGTGACATGGTTTAGTACCTGCCAAGGTGTTGGGGCTTAAAGCCCACTTTTTGGAAATGGGAGGCTCCTCCCTAGCTTGCTCCTGCAGCCATATGACTGAGGGCAGATGAAACTCAGGGGCATCTGAATCCCAAGTCTCCGGGCTTGGGCCTGCATGTAGGACGCCCACCAAAAGACGTTGGAAACATCTGAAGCCCCTGGTGGGGGGGAGGATGTTTGCCAGTTATAGGGCTACATATGGCTCTGGACTGACTTGTGGATTTGGACTTGATTTGGCTTGGAACATGAAACATTTATTTAAAAAAAATTAAGTGTTCAATGGACAGGCTATATAACCTGGCTGTTTGAAAACTGGGGACAAGTATTCCCCAAAGAAAAGCCAGGTTCCACACTTCTGGCTGAACCCTCAGATGGGGAATTTCCTCTGGTTGGTCTCTTGCTTGTATTAGATCACTTGATTTCTAATTCCCAGCATATTCTTAATAGAAATGTCCCCACTGACTGGCTATGCTTGGTTTTTTGTTGTGCTTTGTTCTCTTCCTGATGCCTCAGTTCCCTATAGGCATTCAAATAAGGGCCATCTTTTTAAAAGAGCCTAGCAGCACCCAGCATACAGAACATTTTTCAGATGTTTGTTTTACAAGCTGTTTTTTTTAAGAGAGCAGCTTCAGGAAACAGCAGCATTGTGGCCACATTTGAATAATAAAACATCCTCAATGATGTGCAGTAGCAGATAAGGCAGAAATGCAGATGCAGCAGGTACAAAGAAAAGGGAGATGCAATACAGCCATCTCACCCCTCCATCTCTCCCCTCTCCTCCCTCTCAGGACTATGTCCCACCTCACTGAGGGTGCAGGCCCTCCTTGTTTAATTGTCTTGTTCTCAACCATGTTTTCTATTTAGAAACATCACTTCTGGGTGGTACAGAAACAGCATTTCAAATTCTGCTCATTCTGCATACAGGTTCAAACATTTATTACAGTACAGGTGGAGCCATCAAGTCCCCGAGAATAGTAGCTATCAGACTAGTTTAGTAATTATATAGTTTTGAATATCAAGGCTATTAGGATATAAAGAAAGAAGGGAAAAATGAAACACTTAGAAAATATACAGTAACATTAAGTACAGAGGTGGGTTCCAAGTCAAAGCTACCTTTGACTTGGAACCCACCTTTGACCATGTCAAAGCATGTGGACAGGTCTTTATACATTTTAGGTCAGTAGTATATTTAGCTAATATTCTAACCTAGCCCCAAAAAGTCAGGGCTATCCAGACTAAATGTTGAAAACTGACTCAGTGCCTCACATCAGCTATCATGATGGGTCTCAAACCTGGGCATAATAGTAAAGGTTGTCTTAAGGGAGAGAGCAAAGTAGACAGAGGGTTGGAGTTTGCCAATGTTCACAAAGAAATCTGAAACTGCAAAATAAATCCACTTTCTAGTCTGTTAACTAGACTTGAAGAATCTCTCAAAAGCACCCAGGTCCAATTGCAGCTGAACCTAAAGTCTATTTATGGTTTCAAACTGAGTGCATGTGAAATTCAGCAGCATCACAGGTAGATGTAGCAGAAGAGTAGCATTGGCTGTTTCAAATTTTACTTTGAGTTTTGGGGCTCAGAGGGAAACTTGGGAGGGAGCATGGCATGTACAAATCCACATAGACCAGAACCAAATCAAAACGAGTTGAGTACCCTTTCCTTCTCCCCTCTCCAAAACATCCAGTGTCACAGGTCTCCAAATGCTACCTGGCTTTTATGGGCTTATATCAATCCCACAGGTTCATGCAAAAATGTAACCTGTGTTTACTAATGGCTGCGAAAGGGAGATAAAAATAAAGTTCTTGAAGCATGCACACTTCATTTTAGAAGCTGGTTTCAAGACAACCGTATCTGGTATATGGGTATCACCACTGTGTTGCCACTAGGTTCATGTAGAAGGCAGCACAGATTTGCACCTTGTAGGCTAACTAAATCAGAGATGTATGGCTTGATCTTTCATGAGCCCAGGCTCACTTTATCAGATGCTGTGAAAGGTTTATGAACATTGACCTGTTGTGTGACACTGAGGACATCAATTCTCCTCGCTATACTTTATCTGTAATATTAGGATATTTATACTCAGCTGCTCCAAGGGCGGTTTTGGGGCTAAACTGATGATACTTTGTAGTGCTCTGAAATTCTGGCACAGAAGGTACTTGGAATATGCCTCAGTACCTCCGTATACAGGGCTGCTGACGCTGTCTGTTACAGCATTTAAGGTTGTCTGGCCTTTCCCATCACAAGCCTCTAATTTCAGTTGCTTGTACTTTGTTCTCAGGGTTCATTGCTTTTTTTTACATTTCAGTCAAAATGTCTCAGCCTCGTCATGAAACCAAGGTTAAGAGAAAATACTGCAGGTTGTTATGCTTGCATTAAAAAAAAATCTGGAGACACTGTTTTGAATAGTCGTCGCATCACCATGCAATGAATCAAGAGACTGAAATATGATTGAGTTTTGAAAGGGTCGGGAGTGGCTTTTCTGTCCGGAGCTGCACCTTTTCCTGCTTGCATGTAAATCCATCCAGATTTAGCTAAATTATAGACTTTGGAAAGATTGCAATTTAAACATGCTCAGTAGGGTCTTTTTGCAAATTTTAGCAGTTACACCTCCATGTATTCTGTCTTCACTAAATATGCTTGAACTTGTGTTAACAAGACTGCAAATGTGCCACCCCTACCCAGCAGGTGAGCTAGCTCCCTCTTCTCCAAAGCAGTAGGGGTGAAGCTGGATCTTCCCACTAACTGCTGCTCCTATCAGGTCCAAATTAGGGTTTAACAGGTATAAGAACTGAACCTTTTAACCTGTGTTTTCAGGAATCTCCCTGCTGGTTTCCTGGAGTGCCCTTGCTGCTAACCCTGATTGTGAGGGGGAAAGGTGTGTACTATATGGTACTAAAGGGTGCTTGTAGACATGACCAAAGTTGCCCATTTTTTGAAGTTTCATTGCGTCACACTGTACACATGCAGGATTTTTGCTGATTTAAATGAGTTTGTTACATTGCAAACTAAACTACATGCATATGTAGTTTAGTTTGCAATGTAACAAACTCATTGAAACCACATCTGCAAGCACTTTAGTTTGCAACTTAGCAATTTGTAATGTCGTAGCCTTTTGACAGCTCCCCCCGCCACAGAAGAGGCGAGCTGAAGGCAGACGTGGCAAGAGACCTAATCCTTTTGGGGGGGTTTTCCTTCACAGAGCCTGTCCGCATCTCCCACGGCCAGGGGGCGAGCTGCCAGCAGGCCAAGTGGCCCCTGAGCTGTGGGGGACCCCTGGTCCTTCCCTCTGCAGTGGCAGCACCCCCCCAGGTGGGCTGCTAGCTGACTGGATGCTGCCCCGACTCAGATTCAGGGAACAGTTGGATTGGACTGGGTGCTGCCTCCAACCTGGGGCAGCACCCACCCACTAGCCACCCACCTTGATGGCCCAAGGGGGCGCTGCCACCACGGAGGGAAGGACCCGGGGCCCCCATAGCTCAGGGCCCGCCAGAAGTTTATCTCCCAGCCGTGGAAGAAGCTGCCAGGCTCCGCGGGGAGAAAAAGGATCGGGCCCCTCCCCACTTTTTCTTTTCTTTTTCCCTGCAGAGCCTGCCCACACAAGCTACTGGTGGGCCACATGGCGCCTGAGCAGCAGGACAACCTGGCCCTTCCCTCCATGGTGGTGCTCTCTTGCGGGGAGAAAACAAAGGATCGGGTCCCTCACCGTAACAGTGATGGAAGCTCCTAGATTGAAATAGTGAGTTTTGAATCATTGCAATTAAAAACCCGCTGTTTCAATTTAGGGGACTAACCCCCATCACTTGTACAAGCGCTCATCTAATTGAAGCATTATCAGGACTTAATGATCTCCGATTAAGTCCCCAAGAATAGTGGATACTTCTTAAGGCAAATTGATTTAAGTATGTTAAGAACTCAGATACCATTGTGATGAAAGCCCAAGAGGTCATTAATAATTCAACCTTTAAAACAAAGTTGAAATAGTTTGTAGTAAGGTCTGGGGTCACATTGAATATTGATGCTGAGCCAAAATACAGAATACCTGCTCAAAAAGTGAGCACCACCCATCATATAGACTAAATGAGACACATCTTGTGGAAAAATAGTATGTGGGCATGTAATAATTAAAGACTTCTATACTGTTCACACAGGCAACCTTAATGTTGGCATTTGCTAACTTTGCTTGACTTTGTAACATAAATAAAGTTCTTTTAATATAGTTTTTGTTTGTAATTGTAAATAAAGTATGTTATAGTTCAAACCAGAACTCAGATGCTGGATCTGAATCTTATATGAATTTTTGCAGCTTTGGGTAGTTCCTAATTTTAAATAAGCGAGTATCAAAGTTGCGCTGCCTTTAATGTGTGTGATTTTGTGCCTTCCTGAATTGGGACCATAAGCAAGAGCTTTTAGGGATCTGTGTCCCTGCCTTAGCAGTTGATCTACATTTTGTTTTGCTTGTGATTATAGTATTTAGTTTTGCCCTTGTTCTCTGATCAATTTTGATGACAACTTCCTTAAAAGAAAGCATTTAAAGATAATGTTGTAAAATCCATCAGCAACAAAAGGCTTTTGTGGAGGGATGAGGTGGGGCTGTGCAAGAGGAAAGTGAAAAAACAGGGGGACAGTGGCTTTGCAGAAAGGCCAACATACCCATGTCAAGCCAAAACCAACTGATATATTTTTTACCTTATTTGGAACTGTTGGCTCTGAAAAAGTAGGGAGGGTGCCACCTGAAATTAGACATATGTGGTTAGAGCTACAAAGGCAACCAAGTCATCCGTTTTCTGATAGCACATGACTTATGCCCACAAACAGATTTCAGTAACGTATAACCATTTCTCTAATATTAGGTCCCTCTGTCATGAGGCCCCAGTATTTCACCTTCAGGGCATTTCTGATGTATCAAAGGAATGAACTGGAGTTATTTGGCTGTGCTGACCCTTGCAACACATTTTTATGATAATGCTGCTTTGTCAAAGCCCTTGGACACTCATAGCTCAGACTGCCAACCAAAGCAATGCTTAGGGAGATATGTCTCTCCATTGCGGATATGCAGGGGATCACTTCAAAGCCTAGGGCAGTGACTCCCAATTGACAAGAGATACATTCAAGGATGCCACCATATGTTAGCCCTGCTAGGTGCACAAACATGATTTACAAGTTAAACCCAGAGATTTCAAATAGAAATAGTGCACTGCAAAACTGGACAATGGGAAACTACATCCCTGAAAAAGAGTCATGTAATTCATATCTGGCCCTGCAAAAGCATTCTTGCAAATGCAATCCTTTTGCCTAGCCATTGGGATATTCATATCTGCAAGACTAAGCCCTTGAAACTCATAGGGGAAAAAATTAGTTGCATCTGTGTGACCATATTCTCAGTAGAAACCTATCTATTCTCCCATTGCAGTCAACAATACTTTCCAACTTCTAATGGTAAGAGTAGTCAGGACTTTACTGCATTTGAAAGTTGTATCCGTATAACGGTTATACATTTGGCAAGACCTCCTACCTTGGTTAGGAATCTAAAAATGTTGAGAACCACTTATTTGGACCAAGAGACCAGGGAATGAATGGAGTCTGGTTAAAAGCGATAACCCTAGTGTTAGGATCTAGTTGGGATTAGAGAGTCTGGAGTATTTTCTAGAGTTGGGAATTTGACTGGTCAAATAAAGTTCAGTCAATTGACCAGTCAAATATTGGTCAAAAATTGTAAAAAATTGCCAGTAGATCCAAATACTATACAGAAAAGCACACGTTTTCCATTAAGAAATGTGTCAAAACAATAAAAACTCATATTTCTGTCAAGAAAACCACAAAAAAAGTAGGGTTGGGTTTTTTTCGTTAAATTGCTATAATCTTTGACCAGTCAAAAATATGCAGTCAATTGATCAGCTTGCCAACCCTAGTAATTTCATCTATACTAATGCTTTTGCACATTTAATCTAATCACCGGGAATGCACCACAGTCCCCTCTATTCATCTCTGAATTTCAGATTTGCTCATTTGTCGAGTTCTGTCATAATGTTTCTTTGTCAGGCTGTTCTGCTTGGCTGCATCGCTAAATTTTGGAGCACCTCATCCAGTGAGCCCACACAAAGAAGAAAGCCAGTTTCCCATGGGCTGAGAAATCAGTAGTTGGTAAAATAACAATTAAACTGAAGGGATTGTTCAGTTCTTGCCCTGCTGGCACATCATGAATAAGCAGATCCAAAAGAAACCAAATTCCCAACCCCAGCTAGATATGCATCCATGCAAAAATGTCTTGCAAACCAGGTTATTTATTCTGTTAGGTTTTCATTTTGTTAAGTCTTGTGGCACATGCCACATTGTTAAGAGGGGCACTGGGTGTAGCAGAGTATACTTCCGTTACTCTGTTTATAAGCATCTTTTTGCATATGCTTCCATTCTAAAAATATTTAATACACTTCAGTGACCGCAACTTTCTTTCCAGGGGTTGGTATTTTTGCCTTTCAAATGGTGGCAGGTACATGGCAATATCTTCAGAGTAGAAACTGTGCCATCTGTGTCCATTTGTACACCAGAGAGCACTCGGGGGCTGATTCTGATTTGAGCTTATGGGCACTACTGTAATAAATAAGCCTGATTCTTCCTCCAATATTGGTTGTAAACTGGTGTATCTCTGCTGACATTTGATCCTGTTTTAAGTGAAGGAACAATCGGGGGTATAATAATATGATTATTGTTACCTATGGTGGAACATTTCTGCCATTTGAGTTGTCTAGAATGGTTTAGTTGTCTATCATTAAACACTTTATACAAAGGCAAGGCTCACATCCCACTGGCTAGGACAATGTTGACTTCTTTCTTGGTTGATTCCCAGTTAAACATGCTCCTGATTAACTTTTTGTCTGAAACTGATTCTAGCAGCATACGAACAATGAAGCTACTCTACCATCAATAAGGTTTGATGTCCACCCCTGCTAACACTGTAGCCTATTTAAATGAACTGGGAAAATAGTAATAGCCAAGCTGCTGCTTTGGATAAATCGCTTTTGGTTCTTGAAAATCATCATCATTATCTCAATCATTGCTTTTAGTAGAGAGTAGTGACTGACAGTTGCTATGAAGTCCCAATCACAAGATGTTCTTAGTCAAAAGAGTATTCACACACACACCTATCAGGGTATCATACCTGCTTACAGCCTAAATAGAAACATAGGAACAAAGGTAGCACAGGAATTGCTGTTTCAAACCCTTGCCAACTGATGCAGCAAACATCCCCGAAAACACCAAGAACATCTTAAAGCAGGCTGCAGGCAAAAGCAGGGCGGATGAAGGCATGGGCAATGCCCTGCAATATAGCAACAGGAAATTGGTTAATGTATGCTCAGAAGATCCTAAGATGTCCCGCACTACAGAAGAAGATAGAAGTAATAATAATAAAAAAGTTGGTTCCAGTCTGATCTAAGGGAAAAATATCCCCAGATTCTGTGACTACTCTGACCCTAAGCAGAAGACCAAATTCCAATGCCAGGTTTTCTAACTATTATCAGAAGTATCAGCATAGTACCTCGGAGAGGGGCACAAGGAAACAAAAAATCCACCCTAGAAATCAGTCGCATTCTTGAAAGGAAAGAATTTTTTTTCCTGGAATCAATTGGCAACCAGCAAAAACACAGAGATATGGGATTAGCAAATGCCTTCCACACTTTTCAGACAAGGTTCTTTGGGCGAATCTGATATCTTTTATTAGACCAACTTAAATAGTTGGAAAAAAAATGTCCAACTATTTAAGTTGGTCTAATAAAAGATATCAGGTTCACCCAAAGAACTTTGTCTGCCTGTGTCCTTAGACCGACACGGCTACAACCTACACCCTTCCACACTTTTCTACCTCAACTGGGGAGCCAATGACTCCAAACAATTATTGATGTGCCAGAAATGAATCAAAGACAACAGATACTACAAACCAAAGGGTAACCAAAGATGGCTGTGTTTGTACTACTGCTTTGAAGGGACCTGCAAATAACCAAGCTTGCATCTTCTTTCCTTCCTGTGTTTTTTAAATCACTCTACGTAGTGAGGGGGAAGAAATGTAGATTTGTCTGCTGCGGAAGACTCTGTGGATGGCTGAATTATGAGTCTGACATAGGAAAAGCCATACAAATTAAACTGATTTAAAGATCTGATCAAAAACCCCCTGAAGTTAATAACTTTTCCATTGACTCGAATGGGCTTTGAATCAAATGCCAGTTGCAAGAGTTTTACACAGAGACTTTTAATATTTTTATTTGGTGAATTAGTACAAATGCCTAAGAAATATTTTAGAGAACAGCTTTTATTCAAGTGCCATCTTTCCACTCTTATAATTAAGCCAAGCAAGGTCTAAGAAATCCACCAGTGAAGTACAAAACAAAAAACCTGAATTCTTCAAAGTACAAATCAGAGAAAAATCAGCTTTCAGCCTTTCGGTGTAACATCATAATGATTTAAAACCTCCCCCAGCCTCATCCCCACTCCCCCACCCGACACACACTGGCTTTGATCATGCCCTTTTTGTAATATTTTCAGTTTGTTGTTTAAAAAGTACTAGAAGAGAAAACTAGGGTTTGAAGATCCTGAGTTAGCAGGGAGGTTGGAGGGCATTTTGCAGTTACTTTGTATTTGCCTACAAATTGCACTCTATGCTTTGTTTTGTTTGTATTTTTTTTTCACTATTTTTTTTCTGGTTTCCAAAAACTCATCTCAGCCCAAATTGCTCACACCCATCGGTGCTGTCCTCCGCCCCACAACCCTTACCACTGGGATGAAAGCAAATGCAAAATATTGTTTCACAAGTTCATAAAACCAGAAAACCACTTGATTTTTTTTTTTTTAATAACAACCAGGTAGCTACAGAGTTAGCGTACTTCCTTCAGCCCCTGCATCGATTTCTACAAAAGCTCTCAGCGGACCTCTCATTGAACAGGATCTGCTCAGTGCAGGAGACAGCTGCTAAAATGACAACTGAAGCCTGGACAACTGGTTTTGAAATGTCTGGAGATTATGAGCTGGGAGATTTATGCCAACATCTGAAGCTGCCCTACGCTCATGTCTACATTCCCATCCTCTACTTCTTTGTTTTTTTCATCGGCTTCATTGGCAACCTCTTTGTGATTGTGCTGATGGCCATGAAGAAGGGCAACAAGAGGATGGTGGATAACTTTGTCCTGAATCTGGCTGTAGCTGACCTGGTCTTCGTCTGCACCCTGCCTTTCTGGGCACTGTCAGCAGCTCATAATAATCACTGGTACTTCGGAGAAAGTCTATGCAAGGTCAGCAGCTACATCATCTCTGTGAACCGCTGTTCCAGCATCCTATTCTTAACGGGCATGGGCGTGGAACGTTACCTGGTGGTCACGAAACGTGTGCGCTCCAAGTCCTCCGTGACTAAGAAATGTATCTTCACCACCTGTGGCTGCATTTGGGCTGTCTCTCTCCTTCTGGGCATCCCATCTCTGCTGTACAGGAAGCTCAACGCCTCTGATAAATTTTGTCAGGATGAGGACTCTTCCGCTTACCAGAAGTATAGCCTGGCTTTGCTCATCTTGACCTTTCTCCTACCCTTAGGGGTCATCTTGTTCTGCTATTGTTCCATCTGCAACAAGCTGCTGAGCCACATCAGTGTGGGAAAGGGGACAAAGAACTCCCTCAAGATCATCTTCACCATCATCAGCACCTTCATCTGCTTCTGGCTGCCCTTCAATGCCTTTAAAGCATTCCTCATTCTCTCTAGTCCTTCAGAGCTCGACCAAGAAGCATCACTCTCTTGCTCAGCACAGATTGCTGTCAAATGGGGTCTGAGCCTTAGTACTTACTTGGCTTTCATGAACAGTTGCATCAATCCCATCATCTATGCCTTTATGGATCACCACTTCCGTCGCCGGGTGCAGCTACACTGTTTCCGCTTCTTGGGCGTGTCCCAGAAGACAACCCAGAACTGGGTCTTCTCTTCATCTGCTGCTGAGTCCAGCCTCATGTTTGCCAGCAG